CCTGATTCAGTAGCAATTTGTTTAACCAGAGTGGTATTTGATTAAGATTAGTGATTAAATCTTTCGAATTTTCCAGATTTATTGATCAACATTTATTTATGAATTTATATTTTTAAATAGATCGAACATATAATAATTAAAAAATAATTTCGGCTTCTGAGCAGCCGCTCTAAACCTTAATTGTGTTTTATTCTATCATTTTAATATAGTCTGTTAAAATATGAAACAATTGTTCTTGGATTCGATTCTCACTTGTCACCATAATTTCGCCCGTGGATTTTGCTTACGAATAATACACTAATCTCTGTGTTATTACGTCACCTCTTAAAAAACTTTCATAGGCTTCTATGGTCGGTAACCAGGTGGGCTAGTTAATTAAATCACGGTTCTGTTAGAATCTTTCAAGATGCATTTATGATGCCATGGTAAGCTCTTCACGTGGTTGATGCTATTATTACTGTGTTTTTTTTACCCAAATATGTTTTCCGTATAAATTTCCTACTTCAATTGAAATATATTAGCAACATATGTGTAAAAAACGTCCATCATATTTCGTTAGTTTACCATGACAACAGTAACTGCGAATAAAAACACGCAGAAAGCATACTTCAGGCATTATTTACACAGTTGAATAAATAGAGAATACGTTTATTCGTGATTAACAAAAAACGTTTATTCACAATAGGGATCGAATTTAATTTTAAATTAGCAGTCAATTAATTTAAGTACTTAAGTCGTGTACAAATTTAAAAAAACATTAAACATTGAAAATCATAAGGACAGTTTGATACATTCAAGTAGTTGTTATCTACTTTTCCATTGTTGACAAATTTTGTATTACATTCGTAACAAAATAAACCCCCGCTTTCTGGAAGTAATTAACCCGCTTAATAAAAATTTGCGTTGATTTCATAAGTGCTTGTTTGACTTTTAAAAATAATAAATTAATAGAAATAATTTAATCATTGCAGGAAAATATTGTTTTATTTTATTCCATTATATTTTGTTCCGAAAAGTGGTGAAAATCATTTTCTCACTCAATATCAATCGATTGGAAGTTGACAATTTTGGTTTTAGAACAGTTATCACGTATATTAGAGCTTCCAAATTAGATCAATCATGCTCAGAATAATGATTCCAATATGAATAGATATTTGCAAAAGAAAACATTTTTGTCGCGCTATCATTAGTCTGTTATAACTGGTTTAGATCTATGCCATTTGTCTTCAATTCACATCTAAGTGACTATTTGTTTTCAGAAATATTAATTTTCGTGGGAAAACACTTAAACTTAAACTAATGAGCTAAATCACACAGTTAATTAATTAGGGGAAGTATATTAATCTTAGAATGTGTTACTTGTGGACAGAGTACATAGTACCACAACTATTTATAAATCTGTAAGAAATTCGAGTAATAATACCATGGGTTTATTTTATAACCTATAAAATAAAAATATTACAATCTAAACGAAACTGAAGTTTCCTTAATTGGTTAAACGTCAGTCTATAAATAAAACTTTTCAACGGCAAACAAAATTCGGTAAAAAAAAACGAAAAGAGCGGAGAAATGTCTTTTCAATTCGTTTTCCATCATGGCTCTACACTGATATATATTTGATTTGCATCAATGAAATAATATTCATTGAGTACTCACGTTACGTAATAATTGCATAGCAATTTGATTATAAAGTAATATTGAGTAATTGAAAGAAAGAGGATCATAATAAACAAAATAGTTACTTGACAAATTAAATAGTTGCTAATTGCACAATGTATTAAAAGAACTAATAAAACATTTTGATGAAAAGTTAGTACTATAGTAGTTATGTAAAAATTAAGAGACGAATGTTGAGAACATACAGAAATACAAGAGTGGAAGAAACTAGAAAATTGTCTAACTATTTTGAAGGAAAGAGCCTAATCAAAGTCCAAATAAAAACTCATTCCTATACCGATCGCCAAGGTAGCAAAAATGGTTGTACAAACATTTTTTGCATACAAAGGTTTGGCTTGTGAACATGGATTTCGATTACTTTAGCAATGTACAGAAGACCAACTCGTAAACTATGTGGTAAATTTGATTAAATATGATGGCTATCCTTAAAAGCTTTATTCAATTCAACTTGATGACCTGGGTTCACCAAGTGGGCGAGAATAGAACTCTTAATCATTCTTACCTGTCCTTTACGCAACCAAAACGGATATTCGGCTATGAGATGATGGATTTGTCGAAATGTGCGCCCTATATAGTTGGCTCCACAAGAACAGTTGGATTGGTAAATATACATGAATGTGGCAAATTCTACCAGTCTGTCTTTATTTATGGTTTTCGTTATCGGGCAATTGCAGAAAACTACAATCTGATTGGTTGCACTAAATGTTTTCTGGCCTCATTTCTTAACCGTTGGGTCATAGTTTCCTCGGTGGCATCATTTAGAAATTGTAATTTTAAAGACAATATTTTCTTCGGAACTGTAGATACATTTGGTCTCCTTTTCATCTCATTCATATGTTTGTTCATGAGTTTCGTTAGATATTCATTCCTGCCAACCAGGTTAAGAATATTACTCGAACAATTTACAATGGTTTCATTAGAGTAAATCATTCTAACACGATGAGTTAGGATCTTTACTAAGTTTTTTTGATATCTGATTGATACAGCACTATAGAAACAAGTGTATTGTTCAACTGCAAACTCCTTATTCATCCCTCCTTTTAATGTTCCATCTACTCTTCTTGTCAGTTGGATACCCAGGAAAGGTATGCTATTACTCTGTTCTTCCTCAAGTGTAAAAGTAACAGATGGATCAATGTTATTAGGTATATTACGTAAATCATTCTTCACAAGCTTTTTTCTAATACTATGAACGTATCATCTATGTAACGACAGTAAGGCGTTGGATGATTGACTGTGTCTTCAAGTGGTCCATTTTCCAGTCCTGCAAGTAAAATGTCTTCCAGGAGAGAGCCCAATGGTAACCCCATGGCTATACCATCTAACTTACCATAGTATTAATTGTCGAATCGGCAGTAGACATTCATCGTGCATCTAAAAACTAACTGTTTTATTGTGGATACGGGAATTAAGGTTTCTCTATTAGTTCATTGCAAATAAAATCCACAGTTCCCAGTAGTGGAATTTTAGTGAGTATAGACGATACATTTAGTGATGATAATGACATAATTTAGTAATATTTTTACAAACCGTTGTGTATCAGTTTAGCTCCAACATGTTTTTGAGTTTCTTAAGTCTCAGCCTTTTAAATATTGTGAAGAAAGAACATGTTTATTGCCAGACATTATTCAAGTCTCCGGACACGGTTGCTTTTTAGCAAGCTTTTTATCTACATTGAGCCAAGTTTTATTCCAATGGTTAAGAAATCTTATAACAAGTATATTTACCTATGCAAAAGACAGTTGTCTTTTCAATTCATCCGAAATGCTAATTCGATTTCGCCAAATTACTTCTGCATGAAGTTTTATTACTTTCCATTACTATTTACATGGTCACAATATCAGTCTTTCTGTTGCTTAAAAAAGCGACTACAGTGTGTTATATCAAATACACAGTTCGTCTCTGTGTTAATGCTCTTTTAAACTTTTAATTAACTGTGAATACTATTTCCAATTGAACAAGATCGTTTCAGGTTTTTCACTTTTTTAACCCATTTGGTCATGTTTTTTTAATACTTTTTCTTGGTAAACAAAATCCCACTTTCGAATCCGTTTCGACATAAATATTATGTTCGTGTAAAAGTAAGTAATATTCAAGCAAAAAGCACGAAAAAAATCAACTTGTTAACATTTCCTCATTAATCCAAGCAACTTAAGGATCCAATTATTACTGTTTTGTATCTCTTCAACTCAATAATAAGCATTCAGATACAATAGATAAAGTCTAGTTCGTCATTAAACACTACTGTTTTTAACTCCTCTTAGCATAATGATGAATTAACTTTGTAATCAATGGGACTTTGCTGGATCATTGAAGTGAACTGAGAGAGTTTCAGCAATTTAACAAAAGAAAATTGAAAGTGTTAATATGTATAATCGAATGAAAAATTCCTTATTTATTTATGGTGACATTGGGGGGGTGTGCTTTTCTTTTTTATTTTATAGGGTGTCTACTAAATCACAAGTAATTTCAGTTCATCATACGCAACTGTATTAAGACTAGTTCATAGTCATTCTGCTTAAATGTCTGTTCTAATTGAGTATTGCTTTCAATTCCAGGGGTATTTCGTTTACATGAGTGTTGACGAAGATCATGATTATTTATTACAAATATTTTATTATTGCTTTACTGACCAACTGAAGGTATTACTCCGTAGTTTTTTTAAAAGAAGATACCAGTTTACAAGCTTGATAAAAATTGCAATTGCAATACATTATATGCATTTTAAATGAAGCTGTGAGAGTTATTACAAACGGTGAATCTGTTAATTATCTAATTGCTGGCATTCAATGAGAATGGTTCAGTGTCATTTCCATAGTAATTTTAGGGGGTTGATTTTGACCAGCAAACTATAAATTAGTTCAAACCTTATTATAAAATACATTTTATGATGCACAAAGATAACTGAATAGTTCTATCTGACCACGTGATGTGATTTTCTCGGAACTCTAATATGGCTTTAAATTTACTGAATATTAACTCAACGCTTTAGGAATGTTAAACAGTACGTTTCGCCATTTCTTAATACAATGTTTAACGTCATGAAGAGGATAAATGTTCAAAATAATTCGAACATATCTATTTACAGAAATCAACTGAAATGATTTCAGCACAAGACACGTAAGATGGAAGTATTTGTTCAATTTTATTTTATCTCTATCCCAAAGAAATTGATTTTAATTGAACGCGGTTATCTTTTTAAAGTGCTAATAACCCTAAAATGTAATATATTTTATCATCAAGTGACTAGTTTCAATTTTCATAGGTCAAAAGTCACTCATGCTGTCCCTAGCCACTTTCAGGTGCTCAAATAAAACACAATTTTCGGATGTACCAATTTATCTCCATATATTAATGTAAAATATATGGTAATAACTTGAAAGTTTTAATAGAAAAAATGGTAATAAGCATACTTAATAGTCAGCAATATCATCAGTAAAATGATTTACAGAAACATATCATGTTTTTATCTTCATTTGAAATAAAGTTTTGGCAAATGCATTGGGATTCATTGTTTGAACAAACCTGTCTTAAATTAAATTGGATGTATCAAGAAAGTTAAGGCGATGCTTAATTCCTTCGATTCCACTGACGCAAATAATACATTTTTTTTCCAAATAACGAGCGCATTGAGAATATGTTCAAGAATTTAAATTATGTGATTGCCAACAGGGGAATATGCACTTCAGTATTTGTTTGAAATCAGTCTGAAATTAAAAGTTTACATTTAAAACATGTAAATACCCTTTAATACGCCAGTTTGAAAGGACTCTAGAAGTCTTTTTTGTAAAATAAAATTACCAGTGAAAAAATATGTGTCTAGATTTTAAAAACGGTATACAAATAATCCTGCAGGTCATACAAACCACTGATTGTATTCAAAACTCTTCAAACCAAATGAGCTCACACTGATCTTTGAAATCATGCTTTCTGGAGGAAATCAAGTGTCATACATGCACTTACAGTTACCATTATTTCAGTAGTCTATTAAATAAGTCTTGGATATTACAGCTCATGAAAAATAGAAAAGCAGAACAAAACATCAGCTAATAAAATGCAAATTAGACTATTATTTATGAGCTATATAGATTCACATCTCTAGTTCTATAAAGAAGCCCTAAGAAAGTCAATAAATTGAAAATAAAAGTATTTTACACTGACAAATCTAAATTTAAACTACGTTTAGTCTATTTTATTCTTTCCATATACCTACAATAATGAAACAACATACCATTTTAACTCCCTTTTGGCGTATAATCTCTTAAACCTCGAATTCTTTTGGTTGACCACTTGTCAGGCAAAAGAATATTCAAATAAATCCATAGTAGTTATTTAATTTCTTGCGAATGTAATTAAGCGTATATTTTACAAAAGTCCGTTTTTCTCATTGATCATTAAATATTAATGAGCTCTCTGAGTTCTGAATCAAATAAATAGTGATGACTGAATAGAGCGAAGGTATGTGACATCGTATTATTAAATAATAGCCATTTCCATCAGTACTTCATAGGTTTATTGATTTATTGTCAAACGAACAATGAAGTTCATCAAACGATTCTGAATGCTTATGGGCTGTATAAATAGAACCGGTAAGTTTCATCTTTATCCTTTCACTGAGGAACTGCAACAATTTTTCTTATGAAACTCGATCTTCAGTGATACATAACGTAACTGCGTGGACATGTAGAGAGCAGTTACAATCGAATAAAAATGACGTTAAGATACGTCATCAAGGAAAGTAGCACCTGACCAGGAAATACAAACAAGAATTTAATTTATGGAAACTAAATGTAAGCACAACTTGTTCTCTTTAACATAAGCATTTAGTCACAATTTATAAGTGAAAAACGATTGAGAACTGTGTAAGCCTACTAAAGTTCTTTCTAAACACTACTTCGTTAACTGAAATAACAGAACTTGTCATAGTAGCTAGTAACAGGTCAACTATATGCAAAACAAAAAACACCAATTTCGGTAGATCATCTCTGGTTTGAATCTAGGGAATTGTTTTTCTGTTTAAACACTAAGCACTTCATAATGCATAAAATATTGGTCTCAAACTTCAGATATCATAGGACACATACATTTTATCTTACCCGAAACGATTTACTCATGATTAGATAAATAATTGGATTGACAAAGCTGTTCGACATTGCTATCCAGTGGCACATACCATACACAAGTCTCGTTGTATTTTCAGGCATATCGCGAAATAATGGACTAAAATCTTGTAGAAGGAAGAATAAGTGTGATGGAAGCCAACAAATACCAAACATCGCGACAATGAAAGCCAACATTTTAATGATCTGTATGAAGAAAAACCAAAAAAAGAATATTCATTCAAAAATTTTGTACAATAGTGTTTAGGGTATAAAACTCCCTTAAATTTAACGCATGAACGTTTTTTACTAGAGAGTAAATATTACCATTTATCTCCATATGTTTCACACTCTGATTCCTTGTACAAAATTTTTAAAAACATAGTTGATTGACAGCTAAGACATGATGCTTTGAACAAAGCGTCAACAACCGAATCCTGGTAAAGTACTTAATAAATGTAATAAGCCCCCAGAACATGATGTAATCCTTGTAGTAAATCGAATGTTAATTATATTAAACTGATGTTCTATCAAAACCCATTTTCCGTTAAAAGAAAACAATTCCAAACTTTAACCATTTAATGTACACTAAATTTAAACATCAAAATAACAAATGTCACTTGAATTCCAACACAGTGTTGTAAATTTAGAATGCTTACTGTAAACATTTTAATCCCTAGATTCACTTCACATGACGTCGAATTATATTTTGACAAAAGATACCTGAACAGGCAAAAGCTCTCCTATTCATGACAATAACAATTATGTAACAAAAATCATCTCTCAGTCAATAAATATATCAACAACAACAAACTATCGAAACAAGAATTTCGGAAAAGTATTTGGATTATACCACTGCACATCAAGGATGATTAGCATTTTATGAAACCAATTTTAATTCAATTCAAATTCAAATTAACTCAGAAACCTAAACTTCTTATGATTGTTAAGTAATTTAGTGATTGTTTAAGATGTTAACGTAATCACTCAGTAATATCGCATGATTGATTGTCGAAAATATATATATAAGTGGATAGTGTTATGTCCCGATAAGCATAATGAATGTTAACTTTTGGGATCCATTTATGCACGAATACTATGCGTATATTCTTATCGTATAATTGTTAAATAACTAGACTATACATATTCATGTCCCTCTTATTATGAGCTTTATTTTGACCTATGAATTATTATTCTACGATCTACCATTCTTGAATTATGCCCTGTCTATTGGTTACTACCTCCCACACTCACAACCACTTTTGGCTAGATCTTGTACAGATGTTGTTTCCTATTTTATGGCACGTTGTGGTCTGTCCGGTTGGTATATAAACCTAGTATGCTTGCAATAAATGATTGATATCACAGAGGCTAAGATTGGTGTTCTGGACTTAACTGGCTGAGCAAGACAGGTAGCAGGACCGATAGGTACTCTAGACTGCTCGTATGTGTTTTATTCGTCATTGGTCCGATCGATAATTCACTGCTCTCTAATTGGCGGTATCATTATGTTATACACTAACAGGACACCCGGGCAACAAGTTATAACAGATAGTCAACAAGGTCAAAATGTAGCTTGAGAAGAACGGATAAATTAGCCTGTCCAGAAGCTAGGATGAGTTATGTGGGTTTGACATAGTAGCCGACACTACACTCCGAATGTCGAAAATATAATTTAGAAGGATCGCTATATATTCGGAGGGTTCATTCGTTAAACGTCACCACCTCTATAAATTTTATCAGAAAATTAACCCATATATCTTGACAAAATCAAGAGCTACTTTTATCAAAGTGATCTTGAAACAGGAGCCATAAGAAATATACGGTTGTATATTTTTATATCAATATTAAATCCTCATGATTTTATACGCAAAGTTTAACAAAAGAATATTTAAGTATAGTTAAATGTTTACAATAGAATCAGTACCTTTCAAAATAACAAATGTCTAAAATAAATTCTTGAAGGAGTACTATTTCATATAGTTCGAAGCCACTGAAAATCAGATTTGGTGAAATCCAATCCTCATGAGGAATGAAATTAGGTTTAAATAATCAGTTTCCACAGAAAAAATGAGTAAAATGTTAACCCATTTATTTTAAATATAATAATGCATTATGTAGAAACAAAATAAAACCGTTCACTGTATTAACTTCAGAGATATTACTATTGATTTTCAATTAACTAACATAAAACTGGTTAGGTATAGTGTTATTTTGTTTGGTTAGCTACCTGAGAATGGAAACTTTCGCCTATTAAAATGACAAAATATTTAGAATATTAAAGATTCCCAGTGTGAAAATTAGAACAACACATATAAGTGAACAATTGTTTTCAATTAGATTGTCATCAGGCTTTCCTCTAATATATATGAATATTTATATGTTAAACGAATCAAGGTAATTTAGGTCAATAATCAAAATGACATAGGATATGTCAATTCGAAAGTAGGGAGACAGGTGTACTGATAGTAGTAAGAATAATAAAATCTGATAACAAAAGATCACTCGAGTGATCTATCGTATACCTCCATCATTTTCCAACGGAGTTCGTTCCCGTCTCCCACATATAACTGAAGCCATAGGAATTCGTACATTTAACCCCAATTTATGTGTACAGAAAAAATTCGTGACCCGCCTATCCCTTCCATGGCCAGTTATAACTTGATAAACGACTTTTTATTTTATTTTTGTTATCATCAACATCATTTTCACATCAGGTATTTGTTTGTAATTTTCCGCCTCTTTCCGTTTGTACTCTTCACTATCTAATTAATTACACACTTCTTATTACGTAATTGTTTTAATGTTTTGTGATGATTATTTAAATCTATTTACCCACGTTCGACCTTCTATTTCCAATAGTGAACTATTGATAAGACTTTTGTTATCGTATTTTATTATTCTGACTACTATCAGTACACCTGTCTTCCTACTATCAACTTGTACTTTTACGCACAATGTATGGTGACTTATTCCGTGTCATTGTGATTATTGACCTAAATTACTTTGATTGGTTTAAAATATTTTTGTATAAATATTCATCCACAATAAAAGCGCATAAATAAATACATTTTAACAAGAGCCAGAACACCAAGGTTTGCACAATAAAATAAATCCATTTTATTTAACGCTTCATCAATTGCATACAACTGAAAATTATAATTACTGACAAATATTTAACACAAATTTTATTCCATGCATTTGATTTTAGGCTGTTTGGTAATGATGAGAAATTGTAAAATAGAATAAATTAGTTTTATTCTGTAAACCTTGTTATTCTCGCTCTTTTAACATTTAACATGAAAGTAACTTGTACACAATTTACATTGTGTTTATTTTGGTTTAATTTGCTATCTTAGTGATTATTTCTTCTTCAGAATTAAATTCACCTAATACTATGCTTTTCACAGTTATCTACTAAAAATTGGTTCTTATTCATAAATGTATTAAAGAATTGTAAACATGTTTTCAATCCCCCAGTTCATTCTTCCAAATCTAGTTATCGAATAAAATTGATCTTTTTAATATTGTAAATCATGGATACACATTTAGCTTATTATAAATTTTGATTGTAGTTTGGTTTTTTTGTGAGATTAATATTTAATGTATAGTCTTCGATCTAAATAATGATTGTTCAGGACTATGACGAAAGAATAAAAGATGATCGAAGTTTCAGTAAACAGTAAGTAAGATTTAATGGATTTAAGAAAAGGATTACCTGTTTGCTAAGACTGTAAAATCTTGTAAATTAAATAGAATAAATAGTAAAAATGTCTCTTTTCAAGCACAGTAATATTCAGTATTTCTCAAAACTTTTAAAATGATTATCTGTGATATTGAAATGAACATCTCAGTACACCTGATTTTACAAATAGTTCCAGATGATCTTTGAAAATATTTAGTTGAATCATTCTGTTTCTTAGAGAATTTTCAACTTTAGTCAATAAAAGTATTTGTATGAATCATATTGTGCCAACTAGTGGAATGAAAGTGAATACTTTTCAGTGTCCGAAATCACTATCTGATAAGACATTTTTTATAAATGCTGAGAAACATGTTTGATACAAAGAGCTGATTCACTGGGAAATTAATTTTCAGTGTTAGATTAATACAAATTTAGGGAAGTTACTAATCTTGTTATGCAGTTGCATTTAAAGATGTTACATTTAGATAAACATACATTTTGAACTTTCTTGAATTTCTTTATTTGATTCTTTTCTAGTTACAAGTTCACGTGTAACTTTGGGTAACTTAACTGAGACGAAGAACGTCAACAAGATCTAGTACCACATTTTTCAACAATATTTATACTTTTTAGTTATATTGTAATTATAACTTCAACTTGGTACAATTGAATTTATTTTTATAATGCATTCGTAATATTTTGGTTGATTTTCGAATTGTTTACTACATTTATGGTGTAGTATTTGTACTGAATACAAACATGAACATTAACAAATTAATCAGCGGTTAGTACTAGATACAAAGAACATAAACAAATTGAGAGGTTTTTCACATTATATGTAGATGGGCAAATTTGAAGGGCAATAATAAGAAGTAATGTTTCATGTTAAATTTCATAATATGGAACACTCAATAAACAATGTGGATTGAATCAAACGTACCGTAACCGACGTGTATATTCTTTGGGTACTATCCAAGTGTCTCGTAGTTTACTCTCAAATATTTTAGGAATATAAGAGACAGTCCTGATAAGAATTTGTTAACACATTAGTTATTAGAAAATCGAACATGAGTCAGCTGAGTGAATTTTTGATGGCATAAAATATGAACACCAAACCATACGGAAAACTAATGCTCTATGAGTAATAATGAAGTCTGAATTATTAATATACAAAATTAATGTTACTTTTTATCCGATTGCTCACGTTTGTAAACCTCACTTATAATGAGAAATTTCGGTTTATTTCTTTAATTTATATTCACAACTATCTGTTGAAAAATATAAATATTTATTTTTATCAGATTTAGGACACTATTTCGACTGAGTCAGTTATGCTTCACTAAACGATTTATGTTATGAGTTTTTATCTTGCTCTAGATATATGGAGATCTCAGCTCGCCGTACCCATTTATATAATAATACTCCCCCCCCCGATCTTCACCTGAGTGTCTGATAACAAATCATGTGTGTCAACTGTAATATCTAACTGTTAAACAATACTAAATATATGCTTTAGATCTTGTATAATATATTTAAGCCTTCTGTTTCGATTTACCAAACTAAGGAGCTTCAGGTTTTTAAGTGAATTACACACATGAGTTCAAATATCTGCATCAATGATAGTTATTAAGATAATTTGTTCATCTTAACCTTAACATAGACCTTAATAAAAATAAGTGGGAACACATTTCAAATCTGAAAGTAATCAAAAACCTTTAAAATATACCTTTTTGATAATGAGAATTTAAGTATTTTTTTAAATATTAATAGTTATGCTCCAGGGATTTATTGTAATTTATTGATCATATCAGTAGCTTCATGGAGTAAAAGAAATTTTTCAAGAATGACTATAGAATGTCAGGATTAAACTAATTAGTGAATCCAAATTATATTTTGCTAATTAGCTGATTGATATAAACTTTTTTCATGTTAACTGACACAGGTAAGCCCAAAAGACAAGTTACTTCGATGAAGTGTTAACACATGTGTTTTAGGTGAATATTTTCACTATATGAATTGTAGAAAATGAGACAGATGGCATTTCAAACTATGCGTTTTGAAATGGCTCCTGTTCTTGGTAAACTTATGACTTTATTAAATTTCAACAAACCGATAATAAAATACACCATACAAGTAAGATTATTATATTAAAATTAATTTTCAACAAATAAAATTGAATTTCATTTTGGCATTTCGTACAATCGTCCAAAGTCTATTTACTATTTCAATGAATAAATAAATAAATCAGTGCAAAACAAATAGATTATCAACACTTCATTTCAGATTACTGTCCATCAAACTGCGTTTTTGATTAATCGGGTCAAATACCTGTTTAAAAAACACAGTTTAAAATATGTGAATAGTTCATTCTTAACGTTTATTCGTAAAATATTATTTTAAATGTCAGTTGAACAACAGGAAAATGTAAAGCAATGGATTGAATTGTAACAGGATGGTCTCATCGCATCCCTTTATGAACTTCTTTTTTTTCTGTAACTTACCTAATGTAGCTGTATTTAATCGATTATCAACAAAACAATATTTAAAATGTCAATAGTATGATGGTTAGAACTTAGAAGGAATGACTATGAATGTCAATGAAATTGACATTTACTGAGATTTCTGCTTCAAATAAATGCTATGATATTTCAACAGTTCTTTTTATGACTTTCATTATAATAATGGTAGAGTTAAATTTTTGTAATCATATATGAAGTTACATTGTTTAATGCAATCAAACAAGTGATGACCGATTTAAAAATGAAAATTTATGATCAACAGTTAATCATTATCTACGAGCTCTATTTGACTAAATGTGGTATGGAGATTATAGTTTGGAACAAAGAAGAGTTTTTTAAAGCATTCTAGCACAGTAGAAAAAAGACGACGAATTCAGGTATATAGATATACCATATACAAAGTATACGGATCGTAGTAATATATTCACTTTAAAACAAAGAATTATAGGTCAATTTCTTCAAACAAACAAAAACTCATTCTTACTTTTTATAAATAAAATTTCAATGTTTTAGTCTTATTATGATAAGTACTACCTTAATCTTTTTATTGTTGTAACTAAGGTTCATGTATGGTCTAAATATTTGATTTGCTGATTGCAATCAACTTCTTTTTAAGTTTCTTGTCTATCTACTTAATGCCAACATATAAAAATATAAGAATATGACTACCTGTATAAAAATATTTTGGTTCCGCACAATAAATAATTTAAATGTTAAATAATGAGAATTAACTTACTCGTTTCTTTTCTTTAATCCGCATATCTTCTACACCTTTAATTGACTCACCAGGTGTTTTGCGGTTCCATAACCTAAAACTAATATATCCATAGGTTGACGTTTGTATTCCCAGTGGGATAATGTAGATTACTAAGAAAAGTACAACTGTATAAATTGATCGCTTATAGTCATCTCCATCCCATGATTCCTGACATAGTTTACGATCAGTTAAATATCCTTCTTGTTGCTCTAATGGATTTTTATTTTGTTCTTGTATTTGTGTTCTGGTTGCAAACAGTTGTACTGTACTACCGCTAAGTGAAATAGCCCAAATACTTATTATTATGCAGATAGTCAATGATTTTTGATGTCTACTAGGCCAATGATCAAATCTAAATGGACTTATTATACCAAATAATCGGTTTAAACTAATAACTGTATTGGTTAATGACGAGGCTGTAACCATAACCATTTGTACATAAACAACAATTGGACACATTAAATCAGGAAATGGCCAGTGATGTAAATAAATTTGTGTAAATGTAAACGGAATACAAAAAAGGCCCATGAATAAATCAGATATTCCTAAACTGGCTAAATAATAATTAAATGCTCCATTCGTATAAAATGTTTGCTTTTGGCATGTGTTTCTCATAATATGGTGTAAGTGCTTCGGTGCTTTTTCTATTGAATTATCCAGGTTCTTTTTCAAGAAATTATTGCGATCATAATCACTCGCTGAAGTGCCATAATTTCCATCAACTTGACGATTCTTTAATGACTGTAGATAATTTTCTGAATTTGGATCTACCAGTTTTTCATTTCTGGTAAATGGTTTTATTGTAGTGTGATATTTTATGCCAAACTTTTTACGTTTACGTAAAAATATACATATTGCTATTGTATTGCCAATGAAAGAAGATAACATAGTGATAATATACACAGAAAATACTAATATACTAAGAAAAATTGATGTTTCGTTTTTATGAATGATAATATAATTTCCATATTTATCACTACTCATGAAACTATCAGAAACATTATCAATATGATGGACAGAACTTGTGCCCCAGTTGTTAACTTGACCACTTTCATAAACTGAACTGAAATTATTCATGTTTTTTTCTTAAAAATAAACTGTAATATATGAAATATGCTGAAACGCCCAAACTGTAAACTAACCTGTTAAACATTCATTTTTCAAGTGGTATAAATAAATAATCCGGTGAATTATTTTAACTGGTTAGTTTCTATGTTATTCACGATTGGCTGATCCTCATTATCTATAAATAAAGACTACAAAATTTTTACCAAACAGTATACTTTAAATAAAACATAAAGTGCATGTCTATAATAATAGTAATAGGAAAAGTTGTAGGAATCATGAAATGACATTTCCATCAATTAATGACAATATCATACAAATTCTTTATCCAGTAACCTACTGTTCACTCTCATAACTGGTTAGTGAAGCAAAAAGTACCATAAAGACCAATATAAAAGCTTTCAAAATGTTAACTTAATAATTATCTGCAAAAATAAGGTATACATTCTCTCTTTAACTTTTCAAAATGTTCTAAAAAAAGCAGAGACGTAGTTGGTAAGATTATAAAATACTTAAATCTACTCAATAGATTTTCTATTTCAACTGCCAAAATGCTGGGATCGGAGTGTTAAATGCCAAGATGGTAAACCAAAACCATCTGTTCAAAGTTGTGCTTTCAAGTGTTCGGTGCTTTTAATTTACTTATCGTCTTCGTACACAAAAATGTTTAAAAAAAAGATGGAAATAATCCTGATAATAGTAATCATTCTGAAATCAATTTATTCCGTTTAAAATCTAAGGCAAAATTCCTCAACCTTTATACCAACTAAGAACGCAAGGTTTTTTTTAAAGAAAGACTTCATATTGAATGGAAACTGTCCATTTCTTAATAAAATAGTTTACAAAAGAGAATTTCTAGAAATAAGTCTTAAAAATAAACCAGAATCAGGTAGTTTTCATTCTAAGTTAAAGATGGAATGTGGATTTATTATTATCAAATCGAACTGAAAACATTTCCATATCAACAATTACTACACATGTACAAGATTTATCCATTGTTAAGCAATAAGAAATATGAGTATGGAAAACTTTTGTTTAATCCTAGTATTCATTTTTTCACTTATTATTTCCGAAACCTGCAAAATAAGGAATGAAAGTGGTATTCAGTCACTTCATTTTTAATTGTACGCTATCATTCTAACCTTACTCGAAATTCTTTTCTTGTCTATTCTATTTCTTGTTTCCATATGATTTGTTCTATCAATAATAACCGTTTACAATTCATCGATATGAAGAAATGTGGATAATTATTGTAATTCTTTCTTGGTACAGTAGTGCTATATTATTTATATCATACAATCTGCTTTGAAGCAGTTAGGTAATATGGAGGTAATTTACCGATAACTTCAATATACAGACGTACATTCTTTAGAATATACTTCCTAAATCATATTAAGAGTCTGTTTTAGTCATCTAATATACTTTCTTTAGGAAATTTTACAAACCATAGAAATACACTTTAAAAACACAATGTAATATGTTCAATTCAGTTTACGTGTGAATTCTTAAATATAAAAATATTCAAGTAAGTAACATCAATTATTATGCATATTCAAACTGAAATTCTCACTACTAATCCTTTAGTTAATTGTTGAAAGTATTCAAACACATACTCATCCTCGATCCTGATGACATTTTCGGTGAGATTAAACACAGTAACGCAAATTGACAAACGATGATTTTGTTTCCCTGTTGTTTTGAAATACCTGGTATGTTGCATGAAGTAGTGTGCAGTTCTGTGGTAATTTATGGAAATTTCGAAACTAGGAAACTAATCTTTTGTCACTAGACAAAAATAAGCAGTAGATCATAGATATCTTAAAAGTGCTAGAACGCTTAACTGCTGCGATTTCGATTATTCGAGAAGTACTCAAATAATACACCATACGGAATCTATTTCAGAATATTACATAGGTATTGCCAATCTACCGATTTAAAACTTAGTTTTCTACATGCTCTCATCATTTAACATAATTACATGGGACCAAATCATTCAAGAAATGTATAATTTCTAGTAAATTTAAGGAATTTTTATGTGTTATAGTCACCATTATAAGTCAGTCTTGGGATAAAATAGAAAACAGTTTACTAAAAACAGTTTAATGGATAAGAAAATACAAAGTAGTTTCACTGTAATAAATAGTTAATCGATTAGAAACGAAAAACTGTATTAGGTTAAGTAAATACTCAATAAATCTATTTATGAATGGAGAATTCTTTGAGAAAATGATAAACATTCTATTTCTAAAGTTAGTTAAGTTAATTTCTAAAACTGTTTCCAATAATTTTTAAGAAAAAAATGAACACATTTCATTCTAAATAATTCCCCTGATAGTTCAACCTTATCAGAAGTTAATCTTTAAAATACATAAAAATTAACTGAATAAATTAACCATATTTAAATAATTGATAACAACATAAATGGGCCATGTTTTCAAAACATAAACTCATGTATAAAACATATTTCAACACATAGAGGAGATAAGTAAATACCACATCAGAGTGATAAATGTTAAGCAATGAATGACTAATGAAAGAAGCTTAGGTTGGAATGGAAAAAGTAGTTAGAAAAATGTGTAGAAAATCAAGACAAATAAAGAGCAACAGTCACTGTTCCAAACAAATTTCATTTGAATGTAGAAATGATTTTTCGTGTAGAACGTTTTTTTAATTTTCAGTTATTTTACATTCAAGCACAAGCATTTTAAAACTCAATACATTAGTAGACCAAAATTGTATAGCCAAGCAAAATTTAGAAAACATGAAACATACTGACGGCTAACTATAAAACCGAAAATATAACTCATCATACACAGATTGATATAAAGAAGTGATTTATAGATGATAACAAACTAAGCCTTAATTTCTTACTGGACTATCCTAATTCAAGTTCAACGGAATTACCAGTGTCATAACCCTAAATAATTTTCCATTTTCTCTTAGTTTGTAAAATATACCATAGTCTTATTATTCACCTACAACATTACAAAAAACAACAATTCGTTTCCCTTAAACAAAACAAATGAAATAACAGTACGCCTTTTTGTTGTAAAAAAAGAAATTCAGCTTGAAGCATGTGAATATCGACTAATTTAGAAATTCAGAGTTAATGGAAGTAACCAAGCCTTTTTTTCACGTTCAACTTGATTTTTGTTCCATTGAGACTATTTTCTGCTTATCTTTTTTTCATCATTCTTTATTAAATACGTAATGCTACGTGTTTTTTTTTTAAAAATTATGTTGCTTTTCTTTCAGTATCATAATATGATTTATCTGTTTCTCATTTTCTCATGAATCACTAATTATTTAATACGTTGATTTATTAATAAGTTAACCTAAATTTTTTTTTCAATTTTCAGATGTCACTTGCAAATTAGGCAGTACCATTTGGACTATGTTAGCTGAAATCGTTACAATTCAAATACTACTAATGCATAAAATCCTATTAGACTTTAATTATATTTATTGACATTTCTTGCTTCAAAATGAGAGGTGACAACTAAAGACAACTAATTACTGAATAGTCACTGAATTGGTTTTTCTACCCATTTAAGTCTTTATTCCTTGTATCACTCCACCAGTCGTTTTCCTTGAAAGATGATGCATTTCATTTTACAATTATAACATTCCTTTGAACAACGTTATTAAAATGTATCTCGGAGAAGTAATATTTTATTTAAGCCTAAGAAAATAGCTGTAAAATTTTTGATTGTCACAAGTATACAGTTTACACCTAAATTTAAAAACATTACTGGTTGATATGAAAAAATTTTTCTCTATACTTGTTGTTTCGAAACCATAGTTTAGTGACAAAACGTTGTTACGAAAGGTGACTGTGAATTCATTCCTATACAGTCATGATTAAGTATCGAGAAAAGTTTTTCATAATCTATTACTGATTCCATATCTTGAAGTTAATCGCAATAAAACGTAGGAAAACTATTAAGTTTCAAAGTCCCTTACTTATTCCATCTACCATACTAAAAATATGTATCTCTAACGTATTGTCGACCACGGTGTTAAAAGTTTTTTTAATGTTATCATGCAATTTCGTTTAGCTTGTAATCAGATTTCTGTTAAATAACAAATATCAAATATCTGTCATGAAATTTATTGGTAAAAGGCATTAAGATCTATATCAACAAAAATATAAAGGTTTGTTTAAACTGTTTGAATTACATCCAAACACAGGAATAGCCATTGTCAAAATCAGTAAGAATCACCAGAAGATTAAAGCAAGGACACACAAACAACATAAAATCTTAGATTAAATATCTATCGAAACTGGAATTATGAAACCTGATATTTTATGGAAAAATCCAACTATAATTAATATCTTTTTTTTAAAAATCGTGTATAAACGTGACTAATATCAGGCTAATAAACGATAAGCCTTTAAATATTGGATCTGATACCTGGATAGAAACGAAGCTTTACCGTTTTATGTAACAGCGTATGCACACATGCAATTAAATGATGTATGACATAGGGAAATAAAAATCGGAAAATAAAATTTCAGACATCGATGTACAACTGATAATTTCCTTCCTTCCTACCTCCCTTACCGACTTACTTACCTACTTACTTGCTTACTTACTTACCTACTTACTTGCTTACTTACTTACCTACTTACTTGCTTACTTACTTACCTACTTACTTACTAGCTTACTTACGCCTGTTACCCCTCATGGTAGAGTATAGGCTGAGATTTAGATGGTGGTTGGAGGTAATCAACAGGAAACCTCCAAGCACCATCTAAATCTCAATACATAGTGCCCGCAGTGTCGAGTCACCTAGACTGGTGGCCATATTGCAACATGATCGATAGCATTCGATCTGCACTAATAAGGACTAGACACGCATGACATTGATCACCACCCAGTGATGAACCAATTGAGAGTATAGGCTGCTCACCACTATTCTCCACCCAACTCTGAACTGGGCAATCGTTTTCAGTTCTTTCCAGTTCCTATTCATATCTGTTTCCATTTCTCGGTGCAGTATGTTCTTCGGCCTTCATCTTTTCCGTTTCCTTCCAGGAATTCCAGTTAGCGCTTGCT